CTTACGAAATGGCTGTTGGAACGGATTAATTTCGTAAGTAGAGGTACCCCTGTACTAGAGGTCATTTCTGGGCACAGAAAAAAAACACCACATCATCTGGAAATCAAATGCATGGTTTGTGGCTAAGCTTTGAATGGTGTCATATCAGCTAAAGAGGGACTATCTTTTGAATATCCACATCATGAGACTGTCTTGGGCAGTGCCACTTAAAGTGGTGATCTGTGGACCAGGGCTGATCTATGAGCTTTTAGCTGCTGGTCCACAGTGAGTTTCCAGGGAAGAAAGAAAAGCTGTAGGCAGTGAGCACAAATATGGTGCTGGTCTCCATCACAGCAGATGGGGGGACCCCACAACAGGTAGCTCAAGTCTAGGGCAGACTCCCCTAACCTGGTACTCTCCAAATGTGTTGGACTTAAAGCCCCGTCAATCTTCTGTTCACTGGTATACCCTCCATCTGTTCCAATTTGACAGAGAGAATCCCAATTAATCCTTTGTCATCCCACTTTTTCAGCTGCTTTTAAAATATCCCAGTTTCTCTCTCCTTCTCCCACTTTCTCATTTTGTCCTTGGCTTCCTTCAGCTGGTGAAAACTGAGTTAAAAGTGCAAAAGGAGGAGAGGGCAGAATCTTATCCTTCCCAGTAGGCTCAGGCAAAAGCACTCTGCTGCAGCCTCTCCTAGCTTGTGTGTTCTTTTTCATTATACTATAATGAAACTTTTGTAACTATAGTAACTTTTGCCATCTTAAGGACACTGGGATGTTGCTTGGCCACATGAGTCCTGCTTTTCATCTGTGAAATGTTGGAGGGTATGCATTGGGTATGACAGGAATTGCAGTCCAGTACATCTGGAGAGGAGCATGTTGTACAAGGGTGGCTGAAGTTTTCCCTTTACTTTAACAATGTTTTTGTGTGGGATACCTTTGCTAATTTGGGGGATGAGGACAATACTGATGGAGGACAGCAGAACCACCCAGTAAAATATTTCATGTTTGGGTTGCCTCCTCCTCATCACTTTCTTGAAACCATTTTTATGACTGGGATCGGGCACAGGCTTCCACCGCCCCTCTTTTTTTGGTTCAGATTTTTCTGTTTCCTTGCTTGCCACTCTTGCTGGCACCTAAGCTCTGCCACTTCGCCTTGCCTCATGGTAGAGCCGGCTATGTTCCCAGGCAGAGCTAGTATGTCAGCAGGAACTGGGCCAAGAGAAGCTGCAAAGCTACATGACACGGGTGGCAGCCAAGGAATCTGAGAGCCGAGCTGAGTCACTGAAGGCACACCGTCTTTCCTTTCCTGGGGCAATGAAAAGCCAAAGGACCCCGAGAGACATCAAGAAAGCAGTACGGTCTGTGTCCTTCCTTGTCTTTGAATGATTGGGATGGGGAAAGGGGATGATGGGGATGGATGGGTGAATGAATATATATATTTACAGGAGCCAGGGACTGAAAAAGAACAAACGGCTCCTGTAGCGATGCCTGGCAGCAAAGCCAGCTCTGCAAGGTGACAGTGTGTAAAATGAGCTGTTGGCAGCATGCTATGATTTTGGAATATCCAGTTTGGATTGCTAGGGTGTGTGCTACCATCCTACCTTAACAGTGAGAACAAGTGTGTGGTGTAGTGGGCTATGACTCTGGAGACCAGGGTTCGAATCCTGGCTTGGTCACGTAAACCCACTGGGTGACCTTGGGCAACTTACTCTCTCACAGCCTCAGAGGATGGCAATGGCAAGCCCCCTCTGGAGGATTTTGCCAAGAAAACCCCATGATAGGGTGGCCTCGGGGTCACCATAAACCAGAAAGGACTTGAAGGCACACAATGTCAACAGTAACAACAACAACAAACCTTGACAGCAAATGTTAGGCTTTTCTTGGCCCAGCCAAGAGTGGGGAGGTCAGCTGCCAAGGTTTCTTCTCTGAGATTCCATGATCACTGCTGCTGCAGTCTTTACTTCAAAATGGATGCCCTACTGCACCTCTTTGCCAGTGCTGCCTTGTTGGAAGATAGGGAGTTCAGAGGAGTAGCTCCAGCTTTGCCATTTTATGCAGCAGAAGGGGTTTTGTGGTGGAGCATTTGAGTCATGCAACTCAGGTCTCTAGCCCTTGAAGGGAGATGGGTCCTCAGCTGTGAGGCCGGATCTACATGGGCCAGAATATTCCAGGAACAGCCCAGAATATTCTGGCCCCAGAGCTGCCCCCATTGCCTGGGACTCTCGGTTCTGACACATGTGCATCCACACGCACATCCCACTGTGCCAACCTATGCAGCCACCATGGTGGCAAGTCACTCACTCTGAGATCAGAACTAGGCTGGGTGCCTCTGTCTGAGATCAGAGCAAGTGAATTGCCATGGTGGCAGCTGCACCTGATGGCATAGCATTATGCACAGCCGTCTGGCATTGCAATGCACGGGTCCAGATATTCCGGGAAGATCCAGAGCAAAAGGTGAATTTTTAAAATACATTTTTAATAAAAACAGGTTTGGCTGGC